ATGTGAGACCCCTGATAAGACTGAGCTGAGACCTGACCGACACCCAAAATCTAGCCAAGCCACCTAAAGCATGGAAAGACTCGATAAGACCGGGCTGAGACCAGGCCGAAGCACAAAACCTAGCCAAGCCACCTAAAGCCTGGACAAACCAAATAAGACTTGACTGGGACAGTGAGAACGTCAAAGAACTGGCCAAAATGTCCATTTAAACCCAGGTAGAGACACTGACCTTTAGCGAGAGCTAGGAACCAAGGAGACATCACCTCCTGCTCTCTCCAACTCTACTTGGGGTGAGTACACTGATGAGGCAATGCTGATTGAGACTATGGTGCTAGTATGAAATGTGTGAGAAGTGTTATTATTATGCCTTTATGCTCATAGTTGTTACTCTGCCCTTATGCTTATAGTTGTGTGCCCTTAATAGTTTGAGTACTATTTTAGATTGTTTGATGTGTGTTTGCAGTGAATAAACCGAGCATTCGAAAATGTCTAAGAGCGTTAAGTAATTATTGATCGCGCCGCTCGTTACAACTGTCCCACCACTAACAATAAGAAGGCAGTTAAGGCTGTGATGTCACCATTGGGACACCCACAATGTATGGTAAAAGACTAAGAATATTTAAAGGAAAGAACCTGTACTGACTTCTCCACTGGACGTGGAAAACCGCAACATGCCCACAGATGAAAGCCAGCGCAGGAACCGTGGTACATGGAACGGAGCGTAAGCACAGACACACTCTCAGACTTTAATTTACGGCTCAGATGTGAGCGAGGGTTTTGATAATAAGAGCATCAAGTCGATTCCTGACCAACAATTACTCTGTAACAAATATTAAGTTTGGGATGATTATGCAGTCAGACAATATTTCTTAATAAGCTTCTGCCCATAAATTGTGCCTAATCTATAAACCAATTTTAAAGATAATCCATCATGCCAGGCACTCCACATCTTCTTCTACTTATTGCACCATTTCTCACCAGAAGCTTTTTAGCTTTCCTGCCACCCCAGGTCAGAGCACCTCCTTAGAGTAGTAACGATCAAGTTCACCTGCAGATAATGCAATGGTAGGGGTTCCAAGAGCAAACACATCCCGACTTCTTGGCTGCAGCAATCGCCTGGCTTCTGATTGGCTTCACATCTGTCACACTGAGTACAGGCCAAACAACACTGAGAGGAGATGAGGCTGAGGACTGGATCACCGGTGGGGAGCCTTCCTCAGCTGGAAAGATCTGTCTGGCAGGTGAGATTTCCCAGGATGACATCACCAGGTGCTTCTGTGCTCACATACTTATTGTCTTGCTGAGCAGACCACTCGTCCCCTGAACCAAATGATCCCAATAGCTGCTAACCTTTTCAGAATGGGCCAAGAAGAACCCGGTGGCACAGGGGTCAAGCGCTCAGCTGTTAACCAAAAGGGCAGCTGTTTGTACCCAGCCAGGGGCTGCTCCACTGGAGAAAGGTGTGGCAGGGCTCCACGCTGACAAAGCTCGGGCTTTGAGGAAGCTCGTGGAACAATGGGGTGTCCACAGGTCAATGGGCAATTGCACGGGACGTGGCAATGTCAGCCACGATGCAGAGGATGACTTGGCCTGCTGTGGGAGGGACAGAGCAGAGCCTGGAGAGACCAGAGAGCTCAGGCAACACTTCACGGGGGTCTAAGATATGCAGAACAAAAAGCAGGTGCAGGGGGATCCAGTGCTTGAATTGAGGGCATGAATGGTAGAGTAGTTCTGGGGACCAGCATAGGTGATCCTGGGAGCCAGCCTTGGAGATGGGTGGAGAGAGCCAATGATGGGCACTCCCTTGTTGGTAGGTCCAGGTCAGGATGATGCCTCACTGCATCCAGAGGCGGATGTTGGGATGGACTCAGCCCAGCCTTCTTATGGAGGGGAGGGAGTGAAGGTGAGAGTGTTATCCATGGTTTCAAAAGAACTGGTTACTTAGGAACAAGGATAGTGAAAGTGTACCTCACCGACTTTGGATGTGTTGTCAGGAGAGACCAGTCCCTGGAGAAGGACATCACAATTAGTAAAGTGGATGGGGCAGCAACAAACGAGGAAGACCCTCCGTATGGACTGACACAGTGGCTGCAACAATGGGCACAACCAGAAGATGGATTGGGAGGATGGTGCAGCACAAGGGAGGGATGATTTGCTCTGTCATACAGAGTCTTCATAAGCCAGAATTGACTCAATGGCACCTAACAGCAACAAATGACCCCAAAATCTAAATATTACATGTGCATATTTAAAAACCCCAAGTATTATGTCTATACAAAAAAAAAAAAAAAGAGTTCAAGTCTGAAATGACCTTAGAGTAAAGGAGCAATGTATATGTATATATTGTTGTTGAGTAGGCTTTGACTTCTAGTGACCTCATGGACAACAATATAAATCATTATCGTATTGTATGATGAAAATAATAGCCCAATATTTTTATGTGTTAATGCTCCAGGTTCAATTCTAAACACTCTTCTCATATTAACTAACCTTTACAAGAAAGAGTTAAGGGCACCCTCTATTTCAAATGTCCCAGGTGAACATAAACCAACCCAACTCACTGTCACTGAGTGGAGGACAACTCATAGCGTGATCCTCAGAGCAACCCTAGCGGGCAGGGCAGAACTGGCCCCGTGGCTTTCTGACACTGTCATTCTATATGGGAGTCAAAGGCCTCACCTTTCTCAACTGGCAGTTCCCAGCACAACGCCTACCCACTATGGCACCAGGGCTTCTTCAAGTGAAGAAGTCAGGATTCTAACCAGGCAGAACCTGGGGCCACAATCAGTCTGACAAACTCCCGTCATCCAGCGTCTCCTCTGTCTGGGCTTTACCCACTAGAACCCTACCTCACTGGGCATACTTTCAAATGAACATTTTCACACTTAATTCCAGATTGGTTATTTTCCTTGATTATGAAAATAAATAACAATGTGGTCATATTAAGATATCATCCCATCACTCTGCTAGCAGCAGGCAGGGCTAGCCAGGACCTCACCCATCTACCACAGTCCCTGACACCCCCCAGGGCTCACATGTGTCTGGATCTCCTCCTCCTGCCTGGTCACTATGGATACTTGAGTACAGGTGACTCTAATTGTAAACACAGCCAAAGAGCACAAAGGAGAAAGATGGCCGAGCTCAAGTTCAGGTCAGGAACCCAGAGTCCCAAAACCAAGTCAACCATTTTATTTCCTGGGGGATTTTTAGAAATATCTTTAAACCTCCTCTGTCTCAATCCTAAAATAGGGTTCCTAGTACTAGTAGGCCCTAATAGTTCTAACAGCTGTGAGAATGGCACAGAACCAACCATTATTTCCTTCTGTTGCACACAGTGCGGCAGCCTACTTGATGACCTAACACCGGCGTAATGAAGATCACGGATGGCATCCTTCAGTATGGATCACAACCCAATGTAATTCCCACAGCTGGGCCAATAGGTAACATCAGGAGAAATGGAGAAAAGACTGAAATGGTCAAGGATTTCATCTTGCTCAAATCCATAATCAATGTTCACGGAAGCAGCAGTCAAGAGATCAAAGGATGTGTGGCATTGGGTAAGTAGGTTGCACAAGATTTTGTTAAAGTGTTGAAGAGCAAGGATGTCACTTTGAGGACTTGGGTGTGCCTGACCCAAGGCATGGTATTTCCAATAGCCTCATATGCATGTAAAAGTTGGACATTAACTCAGGAAGATTGAAGAAGAATCAATGCATTGGAATTACGGTGTTGGCAAAGAATATCTCAAGTATCATGGACTGCCAAAAAAACAACAACAAAGAAATTTGTCTTAGAAGATGTACAGCTAAATGCACCGTAGAAGCCAGGATGGTGAGACTTTGTCTCACACACGTTGGAAATGTTATCGGGAGAGACCGGTCTGTGGAGAATGACATGATGCTTGGTAAAACAGAAAGGCAGCAGACAAGAGGAACGGGGCTCCAACCGCAGGTTCGAACATGGGAACAATTGTGAGGAGCTGGCGGTGTGCATTCTGTTATGCAGGTGGTCACTATGGGTGGTACCTAACAACAATAGCTGTATATGGTGTCCTTTTATGCCTCTTTGCTAAATGCCCTACGTGCCCCACGCAACATTCTCACTCTTCTCTCATCTAGCCAAGTCCTACTCACCCATCACTTGGAATCAATGAAAAAAAATCTCCTACTATTTGAAACCAGCAGTACCAACTCCCCCCTAAAGCAGGAGAGGTAAATATTTCAGGCTTTGCAACAACTCAGCTCACCTCTGGCCCCACCACTCGAAAGCCCCTGGAGCCACTCCCTAGAGGAATGGGCGTGGCTATGTCCTGATACAACTTTACTTATGCACATGGAAATGTACATTTCATTTACTTTACACGGACTGTGGGGACATCTTTTCCTTTTGTTCCTCCACCATCTACAAAGCGACAGAACCACACTGAGCCCGAGGGTTCTACAGCAGCGGACAGCGGGCCCTGTTTGGCCCGTGGGACACAGTTTGCTGACCTGGCTGAATTAGCACACTGTTTGCTGATCGCCCGTTTTCTCTTTCGCTCTTTTCTATTGAAGCAGAGCTCATATCTGGCACCTTCAAGGGTTCTTCCTTCAAAGGACAGGGCAGTGCGCTTAGATGTAAACAGACAAGTAATCTGACCACCCCCACAGAGCAAGGCATTGAACATTTCTGGTGGTCCAGAAGGCTCTTTCACACAAAGAAGTCCCTTCTCATAAAGACCCTCATCAAAGAACCATCACTTTGTTAGGAAAAGCAGTCTCTCCGCTCTTTCCCAAGCGGTCTGGATCAAAGGGATCTGGGGAGTGGCCTTGTGCTGCGCAAACTTGAACGGAAAGAATCCCAGCAGGCCAAGCTGACACTTAAGATAGAATGCTAGTGATCGTGAACTCTTCTGGTCACACAGAACAACGCCTCTCATTGCCCATGACGTGTGATGAATACTTAGAACCAGCAAAGGGCACACTTTGGGAGATTCACAGGTGCCGGCTGCAGTGCCTTACCTGGGTCAAGGTGAGCGTGGCTTGCTTGCAGGTGCCGCACTGCACCCTGAGTTTTCCGGGCTGCACCGCTTGACAGGGGCCTTTGCAATACACATAGAAGCTGTTGTAGGTGCGTCCACCTGCGGGGAGCAAAAGCAGGGGAACTATCAGTCAAAGCCTATCACCCACTTTGGGCCATGAAGCTCCCTTTAAAGTACTTGATAGAGGAAATGTTCCAACTTACTTCCCACTCAGGGGCCTGCTGAAACAGGGGCAGGATGAATGCTTCAAGGAGGACCCAACCATTTAAATCAGAAACACCTCGTCCTATGCTCAAAAGAGGAGCGGCTTTTCTTCTTGTCAACAGCCCCAGCGACTTTGCAGCACTGGAAGCAGCCTGCTACCCAGCTGGACATCGAGAGCCTGTGCAACACGGTGACCCTCATTCAGTGAGTGCGCTCTGGGATGGCAGAGCCCACAGAGAGGACCAGAAATGCAAGGCCTGTTGGAGAATCAGAGACCCCTGCTCCGGATTCCAGTGGAATGTACTGCTCACACCTGGGAAAGATCCAGGTTTCCCTCGTAAACCCTGCCCAAAGGGACACACCAGCCCCACTGCTTGTGAGAGGGCAGCCCCCGGGGAATTCAGAACTCTGGGTTCCCATGAAGACCTTCTAACCATAGACATGGGTGAGTTTGCACCTGAAGTGGAACAAGGCCCTGGGGAGCCTGGCAGACCAGGGTCTGGGAGCAGAAATGGATACTTGGTATGTCATCAGCAGTCTCCACCACTGGACACATGCTGTTGGAAAAAATGCATGTGGGGGGCTCGCAAAAGCCTACGGAACAGTGGAACGCAATAATCAAGGGATCTTCCCACGTGTTCGGTGAAGCCCTCTCATACATTTTACCAGGGCAAAAGCTGCCCCAATTAACAACAATCAATGAAGTCCACATCGCTGATTGTGGCTCTCAAAGAATATAACATGGGGATAATATTAAACCAAAGAAACTCACTGCCATCAAATAGATGCTCGCTCTTAGTGACCCTTTAGGGAACTTCCCCTGGGACTTCTCGAGTCTGTAACTCTTTATAGGAATAGAAAGTTCCATATTTTTCCTACAGAGCAGCCAGTGGTTTTGAACTGCTGACCTTGTGGTTAGCAGCCCAACTCTTAACTACTGCACCACAGGGGTCCTTAGGGATGGAGCGAGCTCTTCCAGTATGACTTCACACGGCTGCACCTGCACAGTGAATCTTATTTGGAAGCATTCAGTACAGCAACCCCCTGCCCGTCTTTCTCAGTGTCTACAAATTACTAATAACTCCCTTACTGAAATTGGAGTCCTGGTGGTGTAGTGGTTACTCATTGAGCTGCTAACCACAAAGTGGGCAGTTAGAAATCACCAGTTGCTCTTCAAGGGAAAGACGAGGCTCTCTGGTCCTTTGAAGAGACAGTCTACCCTGCCCAACACGGGGGCTCTGAGTCGGCGTCAGGTCCATAGCAGTGAACTGGGTTTGTGTTTTCCTGTGGTTGGACAGAGGCAATGTAATTGGTTGTGTCATGAGATCTTTCCTAAAATTTTACTAACATATCCAACACACCTGAAATTAACATTCAGGAAGGCTTGCTGAATGTCCCATGCAGAAATATTAGGTCCCCCAAATACCATGGTCACCTGAAACCCATTAGAACAAAATGGATGGGAATGGCACAGCGAGTAAGTGACCTGGGTGGCACGTCCACTTGTGTTTCTCATTTACGGAAAGGGATTCTGTAGACACACTGCACTGTTGTTGGTTCTGTCGCCCTTCCTTAGTTGCGAGGGGAAAACACTGTGCAAGATAAAGTTGCCACGCTTTACAAGTGTATCGTGTATTGGCAATGTGTTTTATAAACGCTACAGAGATTAATGCAGAAAGTTCCTAGTGTAGGGGGTGATAAAATACAAAGGCTTGTCTGTGGTGGTGAAAAACTATGATTCCCTGACACTGCCACACAGCGTTGGTGCCTCAATGGGCAAGAGTCTTCAGGTTTATAAATGTAGTGGTATTAGCAAATATAATTATTTCACATAGATCCTCAAGGTTTTATGCACGCCAGAAACACAACAGATCGGAGCCATGGATTAATGGGCTATAAATATTTATAACCTGAAAACTGACAGAGTATCTGGAGATTGCAAGACCTGGAACAATTCTAACATGTACTAAGCAAAACTTAGGATGGAGACAGGGGCTTTTCCTTTTTATCAGCAATCAGGACAATTCCCATTTACCATGTTCTCTCAGCCTCCTGTAAAGGCTAAGTGTAAAGGAAAAGGAGAAAGGGGTGGGGGGTGGGGGAGGCCGAGCAGGAGAGAGGTTCTCCAAAGGGAAGCCAGGGTGAAAGGGGCTGGTGTTGTTGAAAGGGTGCATTAGCAGTAATTTTACAATATTAAAAGCAGCTCAGAAATAGCAGGGAATGAAAATGACTCCTCTCTCTGCCAAGGGCACCAACAGTGTTTGTGATATTGTTGCAGCTAACGATGTATCAAGGCAGCATCTGGAGGCTGCAAGTTCCTTCCCTGCTCCTTGGTAGTGGGACAACCTTCACAGGAGTCCTTGAGAAGTTATTCAGACGTTGCTGCATGCCTCCGCCTGTGTCCGCCGTGGGCCCTGGCAGCCTGCTGGAGACGGCATGCAATCTATTACACTTTGCTTCCCAGAGCTGGCCGCAAGTTGGGGATTAATAGCAGCCAGTCTGAGGAAAATCAGGTCAGGTCAGTCCTGAGCTCTGCAAATTTCAAGCTGTTGACTGCTCAGGCAAGGAGTGTGGGCACCAGGTAACTGTTGAGGGCCAGCCAGACAAGGTGCCATGGTCTGGATGGCACTGGACCACTACTTCAAGTAGGCAAGCTTTTCTGTGTCCTGAAGAGACCCACATTCGCTGGGCAGGGATAAGGTCCTAGAGGAGCCAGACTCCTCCAAGGATGGCAAGTCAAGTCCACACAGGTCTGGGAAGCCTTCCTCTGGGTGCATAGCTGCCCCTCCACACCCAGGCTCCCTCACACTTCTGCTGGGCACTTACCATCATTTTCTCATTACTATCATGCCCATCAACCGTTACTTGGCCCTCCCAGCTGGCAACTCGTTGCAACTCAAAATAATCAATAATCAAAGAAGCTTGTGTTTGAGCTGACAAAACACCCTTCCACTATCAAAGGTGGGAAAATCTTGCCAAAATTGTAGCACTTACTCCCTTCACAGTTTTCCACACTTGCTAACCATTTGAGGATACTCTCTTTCAGTGTATGTGTATGAGTGGGAGTGTGTATATGTGTGCATGTGTGTGTGCACACGAATGCCAATACAAACTCAAACCAAACCCACCACCATCGAGTCTATGCTAATAGAGCTGTGTGGCACTGCCCTTCGGGTTTCCAGGGTTGTGCACCTTTCCAGGAGCAGGCAGACCACCACGTCTTTCTCTCGAGGGTCCTGTGCCTGATACTGTCGTCAGCAGCCTCACAGGTAGCCCCCACCACCACTAGGGCGCCTCTGTGTACATACACATGCATAGACACACACACACTTGGGTTATTGGCTGGATCATTTGTAACCAAATTGAAGACATCACAACACATCACCCCTTAAATCCTTCAATATCAACATCTTAAAGAAAGGAATCTGCATGTACCACCAATCAGCTTTCTACTAAGAAACTTGGTTTCTTCAGTTATATTGATACCAAATTAACTATAAAATAAGCCTATGCTACAAAGCACTATGGTAGCTTGCATGCTGTTAAAAGGTGCCACACACACACTACAATATAGGAGACTCTTGGGTCCAATCACCCTTGGTTCCGCCCAGTTAACCATGTTCCCAGGCTGTAGGCTCTGTAGACCTTCTGGACTCTGACAATAGGAGGAAGCGTGACAAGCCTGTCCCTTCCTGACAGAAGCATCCTGTGAAATGATATTTCTCAGAGGAAGAACAAATATGAACCCCACTGACCAACCATTCTATCTTGGAGGACGGACTTCAGTCAGAATGCTCCTTAGCTGTGAGCTTGGCAAGACTTCACCTCTCTGACTTTGGATATGTTGTCAGGGGGGAACAGGCCCTGAAGAAAGACATCAAGCTTGGTAAAAGAGAGGAGCGGAACCATGATATTTCATTTTTGCTCTTTACTGTTTCTGTTGGGTTTACAGTTTGTGAAGCACAGAAGGAGTGGATGCAGAGAGATAAGGACATATCCAAGGGTTGGTAGAAGATATAGGCCGTAGGATCAAGAGGGGGTGGGGAGACAGAGAGAGTGGGGGGATTTCTGGTGTAAACAATGAAGGGGGGGAGTGGACTAGAATGTTCTAGCACTAGAACGGAATGTAATTACTCAACTCGTTTTAAAGGTGATTCAATCACGGGGGAAAGAAAAGAGTAAAAATGTTCTAAATTTAATTGTGGTAATGATTGTACAATTGTTCTTGATATGATCGAATGATTGAATGGTATGCTATGTGGATTATATGCCAATAAAAATGTTGAAAAAAACATAGAGGGACAGAGACAGCCAAAGAGGCAGGCCCTCAACAGGGTAGACTGGCAGAGGGACTGCAGCCACGGGCTCCTCCACTACGGCAAGGCTGGTGCAGGACTGGGCAGTTTCTTTCTGATGGAAACCGGGGTCTTCAGCAGTGAGCATGACCTGACAGCACCTACCAGCGACAACCGTGACAGGAAGAGTTGGTTCAACTGGGAAAGTTGATAACCTTAAAAACCAGCTGACAACTGGGTTCTGCCCTCCCCTCGCCCCACCTCCCGGCCCCCAAGCACACACTAAAACAGTGCCCTCACTGCCAGGGAGTCAATTCCAACTCCTATTAACCCTACATAGACGCTCCAAGACTGTCCATCTGTCCAGGAGGAGGCAGCTTCATCTTTCTCCCTTGGAGCACCTGGAGCTTCTAAACCTTCAACCTTTTGGTAAGCAGTCTAATGCTTATGCACACAGCCACCGAATCGTAACCTCCCTGCCAACTCGCAATGACCTATAGGACAGGGTAGGACTGCCCCGTGAGTGTCTGAGCCTGAAACTCTTTATGGGAGTAGAAAGCCCTCTGAGGATGGGCTGATAAGGGTTTCAAACTGTTGACC